GGACTCAAAAGGAAAACTGATTGGCAAACAACACGTTGTTAAGCGTTATCTTACTAGGTCTATAGGAGAAGCATTTCAGCTGTTTCTCAAAGAGCATTCAGAAATACAAATATCGAAAGCTAGGTTTTATAATTTTCGACCAGCCGAGATAGACACCTTTAAAAATATTCCTGAAAATGTGTGTTTGTGTAAAGTGCACGAGAACATGCGCTACCTCGTGGACGCCCTTCATTCCCACGTAGGAGTGCCTAGATTGACGAATGGTTCAGATGAATTTCTGTCCGAAGTGACTTGTGGTGACCCAAACAATAAAGTTTGCATGACAGGCAAATGCCAAAAATGTCAAAACAGCTTTGAAGGTTTTGATCCCTCTCTTGTTCGGATGGCACAAACGCAAACCAAGGTACGTCAGTGGCAAGACGAAGATGGTAGGATGAGGCTGGTCGAGCTCTCGTGAACTCTAAAACAGTGCTACGAGCAGGCGAAACTTACGCTTCAGGTAACAACTAAATATCACAATTTAATGTACATTTGGTAACCTCGCTCGATTTTTTTCTTCATTATTTGCATTTCTTTTGTTAATTTTTAAGGCTTTTCTGACCCATGTGTACGTGAAGAGACAACAGTGCACTTTTTTCAAATCGTTGAAAGGAAAGGTAAACGGCTCCCAAATTGTCCTGCAAATTGACTTTGCTGAAAACTTCACCATTACAATCAGAATGAAATACAAAGTGCTCATTGGAATCATGAGCGCTGCACTTTGTTCACCGCCCACTCGTGGATTTCGCCCGTGGAGGAACAGGCAATGGTTATCGTTTCGGACGATTTGCAGCATGACAAGGTCGCTGTCTACAAATTTCTAGATTTGTTGTTAGACTCTCTAACTTCAGAACACGATAGTGTAAAAGAGGTGCACATTATCTCAGATGGTGCTGCGTCCCAGTTTAAACAAAAATTTACATTGTCAACTATGAATGTTTTTGAACAAAAGTATGGCATCATTTTAAAGTGGCATTTTTCAGCTTCTGGTCATGGTAAGGGTGTCATCGACGGCCACGGTGCGACGGTCAAGGGTGCTATTTCTAGTCGATTATCGTCTGGTTTACTGATTAAGGGGGCCGAAGGTGTCGCTTCATTAGCTTCAAAAATTTGCCCAAACATTCTGATTAGTTTTGTGTCATCGGCGGAGGTCCGGGAGAATGAGAGTGCTCTTCAAGAACACTGGGAGGGGGTAAAGGCAATCCCTAAAACTCTTCGGATGCACTATTTTGAGAGTATTGGTCCTTATGCAATTGTGTGTAGGGAAGAGTCTAACTGCAATGAGAGCAATGCCCATTCGATGAAAGACTAACTGTTGTCAATAAGTGTGGCAGTTTTTGTTATGTTTTTAGCCCGCCCTTCTGCTTTGAAAAAGCTATCCAGCGGGCTTATGCAAACGACCTCGTGTCTGTCTGTCTGTGTGTCTGTGTGTCTGTGTGTCTGTGTGTCTGTCTGTCTGTTCCACTAGAAGGAGATGTGCTAGAGACTTCAAAATTTCAGGGTATCTTAAGGTTCACTACTAGAAAACGAAACGCCTACGGCAAATCCTGGCAACCAACCCTAAGGGGCTGAAAGTGGGTATCAAAGGAAAGGGGGTAGGTCAAAAAAGTCAGAAAAAAAATATTTTTTTATGAGCTCCTAATGGGTAACTCGTCAAAGTAGAGCCCTATGGGCGAAAATTTCGTCCGTTTTGC